CTTTTGGGATAGGATATCTTGGTATGCTTCAGATGGAGTCTTTTGGGATAGGATATCTTGGTATGGGGTTCCTTGGGATGGAGTCTTTTGGGATGAAGTATCTTGGAATGACATGTCTTTAGTTAGTATATCTTGGAATGACAGCTCTTGGTATGGAGTCCCTAGGGATAGAGTCTCTTGGAATGGTAGGTCTTGAGTTAGCGTATCTTGGAATTGTATGTCTTGAGATGGCATGTCTTCAAAAGGCAAGTCTTCAGATGTCAGATCATAAGAAAAACGGGATGATGGGGGTTTAGAGCGTAAAACTTGTGTTGACAGACCTGCCATTAATGTTTGGGATGATAAAGTGTCAGGTAACAAAGGGAGGAAATCATGTGAGGATGGAGTTTTAAGAGTTGCAAGTGACACATTTTGGTTGTCAAGCAATTTGGGTTGCAGATCAGAGGTTTGAGGTGTAACAGCTTCTAGGTCCTCATCTTTCAGGTTATTGCTTCTAGACTCTTTTGGAGAAGGAATATTTTCTGAAGACTTTGGTGTTAATGGGGGAGGTAAAGCATTCATTTTAGTATTTTCTTCTTGTGGGAGTTGAGTAATAGTCTCTTGTTCATCTGGAACACGCATAGAAGATGTACCCTTATCACTTTTCTGTGGGATATTTTTGGGAGCTGTGGGAGCTGAAGGATTTCTTGAGACTCTTAACTTGAAGAAAGCATAACCCCCTAAGAAAATGGTTTTTATGTTTGAAGCTGTATTACCACTGGGAGATTTTCCTTGAAACTCAAATTGTAATTGATTATTTTCTTCTGGCACAGGCTGTTCAGTATTTTGAGGAACTTCTGAAGGAAAAAAGAATACAGCCTATAATACCAAGGGGAAAGCAGAGTGTTAATAGGCCAGAATTGTATTTATGTCATATCCTTACTGTATTCTCATATTATCTTTCCTCTGTCATGTGTACATGAGAAAGGAGATGAAGCTCTCTAGCCTTTCCTGTCTGTTCATCAGATTTGGGTGATGTCACTATCCTTATATCCTAGAAACTAAACAAAGGGATTTTTATCAAACTTGCCTCAGGATTTTTTCTATACTGAATAATACTAAGTTTTCTAAGACATTTAAAGTATCCAGTTAATATTCACACACAAAAGCCTACTATATGATTTGTTAATTACTTAAACTATCAAAGACAATCAGAATTTACCCTTAAAGTGATAACAATTATAACCAGACTAACATATGAGTAGATAATGATAAAAATCACCCAGCACTATGCCTATTATTGAAATAGTTACTAGGTTCAGAGGAAGAAGCTAATTTACAGTATCATTTAAAAGAATAATATATTCAAGAAAAATGCCTACCCAAGGAGATGAAAGACTTCTATGCTGAAACCTCCAAAATACTTCTGAAAGTATTTGTAAGAAGAACTAGACAAATGGAGGTCTTCTCCGTTTGTTTATAACAAGGTTTAAACTTGTTTAAAAAAAATCTATGCTATGCAAAAAATATACAGATTCAATTCTATCCATGTCAAAATATAAATAAGCTCATTCTCAGCATAAAACACATTTCAGATTTATATGGAATCTTAAGGGATCCAGAATAGCAAAACCATTTAAACAGAAGAAAAATATTTGGAGAAATAATAGTTGTCAATTTTGCGACTTCCATAAAGTTATGGTAAGATGGATAGGTAGATACAATAAAGAACCCAGAAGCAAACGTAACATAAATAGTTCATTGAGTTTCAGCAGTGATGCCAGGATCATTCTATGGGAGAGGACAGTCTTTTTAACAATCAGCACTAGGAAAACTGGATAGCCACATGCAAAGAATGAATTCAACACTTACCCAGTACCATAGATAAACTTAAAAGCACAAAATGTACACTTTGGTGGGCCCCATTTTCTTTAATCCCTTTGTCCTGGGATGGTGCTGCCCACATTCAGGACAGATTTTACTTACCCTTTCCTTTCTGAAAATAGCCTCAAAGACAAGCCCATAGGACTAAAGTCATGTAGGCTTTTTGTAATCCAATCAAGATGGACACCAAGATTAACTGTCACAGTTGGATCTGGTGACAATTTTATGGGTAAGACAACACAAGATGGATAGGGAGATGGCTCATTTGGTAAAGTACCTGCTGCCCAGGCAGAAGGACCTGAGTTCAGATGGCCAGAAACCATGTAAAAAGCAAAGCATGACACCATGTTCTTGTTACCTTAGCCTTGGGAGCATGGAGATGAGCTAGGCAGATCCATGAACCCCAGGTTCGGTGAGAGTTCCAGTTTCAAAAACAAACATAGACTCATCCAATTGCTGACCATGGGTACATACAGTGTGCATGAATGCACATGTACACACCACATATACAATATCACAATATACTCAAGTATGTAATAATGAAAGAAATAAAAGAATACATAAATCAGATTTGATCAATATATGGCTTCTGTGTATTGAAGATACTGTCCAGGATGGAAAAAAATAATAACTATCTGAAGGGACAGAATGGGATGAAATAGTTATAGACAATATGTCTAATAAGAAATTACCAAACTGTACATATGGAAACACTACAATCCAACAACAACAACAACAACAACAACAACAACAACAACAAAATGAACAGCCTAATTAAGAAGTGAGCATGGGCCAGTTGTGGTGGCGTACGCTGGTAGGATTTGCTGAAGGAGGTGGAGGCAGGAGGATCACGAGTTGGAGGCCAGCCTGGGCTACACATTTTAAGGTGGTACACACCTTTAATCCCAGCACTCGGGAGGCAGAGGCAGATGGATCTTTGTGAGTTCGAGGCCAGCCTGGTCTACAAAGCAAGACCTAGGAAAGGTGCAAAGCTACACAAAGAAACCCTGTCTCAACTCCCCCCGCCCCAAAGTGAGCATGGGCCTGTAAAAGCTCTTGTTCAAAGAAGATCTGTTCCTGCTAATAGGTGCATGACTAACCCTCAGGAACATCCTATTAACCTTTGGGATGGTGGGATTGAACTGTATCTTGATTGTGATGATCTTTAAATAGATGTGTGTCATTTGTCAAAAATTATTGCACAGTATGCTTAGAATTGGTGCACTGGATTGTTTGAAGTTAAAAGCAATCGAGGATGTAAGCAAACACTCTACCAAGCACAATCCAGACTGCTGTTGTAACTCAGAAAGCAAGGCCAGGAGCTGTACCACACAAGTCAGAATCCTGTGTTCTGTCATACTGGCGATGTTAATTAACCTCTCTGTTAAGCTTTAGTTCATTTTGATGTATAATGAAGGTGTTGATATAATATTAACATAATTATTAAGTTGCCACTAAGCAATTATAATGATGTTTGACATTATAAACAATCAGTAGGGCTATAAACTCCCAATGTCGCAGTACTATGGGATTTCCACAAAGTCCCATATTTCCCATTTTTTCCCCAGGAAGATAAAGAATTATATATTAACAGAGATGACTGAGGACAGTAGATAGGACAAGAAAGGAAAGTAAGTTACCTGAAAGAGTAGAGTGAGCATCAGTCTTAAGCTCAAACCCCTCTGACCTTTCTAATTTAGGAGTTTCAGTGTGGTATCTGAGCATACTGCTTCTGCACTGTAATAGAGGTCAATGTTGGGTTTGGGTGATGTTCTCAGTGTGGATGCAGTAGTACCAACCTCTGTGCTATTTGTACCCTTAGAGGGAGTGTGGGAGGAGACATGAAAATCAGGATCGCTGGAAGCTCATCGGCAAGCTAGCCTGGAGTATGCAGTAGTGAACAGCAGGTGAGACATTTTCTCGAAACAACATAGAAGGTGAGGACCAACTCCTGAGGTTGTCCTCTGATCTCCACACTCACACTGTGGCATAAGAGTACTTGCTTCCTCACACACAGGAACATGTACAAACACACACACACATGCACACACATGCACGCACGCACGCACGCATGTACACACGCATGTACACACACGCGCATATATTCAGTTCTCATGACAACCTTGGGCGCACCTCTCTTGAACTGGTCCAGCACTTGCTTCTTAAGGATGCAATAGTCACAGAGATGCTGAACTCTGCTATGGTGATGATTAATAAGACTGACAGAATTCCCTGCAAATAAGGAAGAGAAAGAAATCATATTTAGGACAAAAGCAGCATCACTTTAAAAACAGAAGCCCAGAACACTTTACACATGATGACCAAGTTTGGGAAAACTCATGTTCATGCTGTTCTGTAGCTATTAAATATTGCATAATTTTAATGTCTTTCTGGTAAGGAGTGGGCTAAGACAGTCTCTAGAGTGACACCAGGAGAGGGACAGTAGAGAGAAAGAGCATTCCTATAAATAGCTGCCATTTCATTAAAATAATTTGTTTCAGTGTGGGAATATAGTACCCCAACACCTGCTTTTTCTTCCCTGAGGAAGCTGCTAATGCATATTTTTTGAAGTGAAAGTTTCAGCTATGTATCCACCTCTGTGCCAAATAAATCTGCAAGATGGATCTAGTACCCAGATCAGCTTTTGCCGACACTACTTCAGGTAATGTTTTCATTGAGAAGTGAGATGGTGCAGTGTGGTATTCAAAAAGGCTTCAATACCAGAGGCAACACAAGTTGGGCACAGCTGGGCCTAGGGTCACGCTTACACTAGGAGAGTGACTACAGCTCTCTGCACCTCAGTTTCCTTTGAGCACATGCAGGAGCTTAGGTAACGGCCGTGTTGCTGAAGCTGAAGGGTGTGCACATTTTGCTGTGTGAAGCTCCCCTGTCTGTCCTCCCCACTGTCCTCCCCACTGTCTGTCCTACCACTGTCTGTCTGTCCTCCCACTGTCTGTCCTCCCCACTGTCTGTCCTCCCCACTGTCCTCCCCACTGTCTGTCCTCCCACTGTCTGTCCTCCCACTGTCTGTCCTCCCCACTGTCTGTCCTCCCACTGTCTGTCCTCCCCACTGTCTGTCCTCCCCACTGTCTGTCCTCCCCACTGTCTGTCCTCCCACTGTCTGTCCTCCCCACTGTCCTCCCCACTGTCTGTCCTCCCACTGTCTGTCCTCCCACTGTCTGTCCTCCCCACTGTCTATCCTCCCCACTGTCTGTCCTCCCCACTGTCTGTCCTCCCACTGTCTGTCCTCCCCACTGTCTGTCCTCCCCACTGTCTATCCTCCCCACTGTCTGTCCTCCCCACTGTCCTCACCACTGTCCTCCCCACTGTCTGTCCTCCCCACTGTCTGTCCTCCCACTGTCTATCCTCCCCACTCTCTGTCCTCCCACTGTCTGTCCTCCCCACTGTCTATCCACCCCACTGTCTATCCTCCCCACTGTCTGTCCTCCCCACTGCCTGTCCTCCCTACTGTCTATCCTCCCCGCTGTCTGTCCTCCCCACTGTCTGTCCTCCCCACTGCCTGTCCTCCCTACTGTCTGTCCTCCCCGCTGTCTGTCCTCCCACCGCCTGTCCTCCACACTGCCTGTCCTCCAGCAGGAGGGAATTGGCCCCAGCCCTTGCAAACCTTCCATCCTATGCACTTGGATCAAGTAGGACAGGATTTCATCCTTTGTAATTGTTTTCCGACTGTCCTTAGGAATTCAAGTCTAATTCTGGAATTTATCTCAGCACACACAAAGAGGTCCTTTAGTCCACTTCAACAGGTGGTTACAGGGATTAAATCATGGGAGATAATTTCCCATGAGTCTACTTCATTTTTGTCCTTACTAGTTCAAATTTTCAAAATCTGGGGCTGCAGGCTTCCAGATGTTGCTATCAGAAGCAGACTAAAAGCCCAGAGTTTGCTTTGGGAGCAGAGGAAAAGGCTCATGGGAGTCTTTGACATGACTGAAAATGGTGTCAGGGCTGGTATGGTGATAGCTCTTGCTATTAAGCCTGACACCCTGAGGTTGAGCTTCAGGATCCACATGTTGGAAAGAGAAAAAGAACTCCTGCAAGTTGTTCTCTGATGTCCACATAGAAGCTGTGGCATTGCATACTACACACACTTCAAATAAGTAAGTGTAAAAAATAATTAAAATAATTATAATGTCATGTATTACTTATACAATAGACTCTTAAAACCTTAACTATCATTAGGGACTGGAGATAGCTCAGAAATTTTGGGCATTGGCTTTCTCCTGGAGGAGCTGTGTTCAGTTCCCAGAACCCACACTGCAGCTCATAAACATCTGTAATTCTAGTTCCACAGCATCCATTGACATCTATTGACCTCAGAGAACACTAGGCATGTATGTGGTGCACAGTCCCACATTCAGGCAAGATACCTACACATGTTAAAAAAGTAAAATAAAAACATCATGTATAATTATATTTCCTGGTAAATTTACCATACTGAGTAAAAATTATATAATTATATAAAATGGCTTGTATATAAAAAAAGATTGAAACACCTCACTGAAGTACTTTCTTCCACTGTATTTTGTTTCATATCAATAGAGTAATTTTTTTGATTAGTAAAAAGGTAAAATTTAATACAATTGAAGTAATAACAGTTGTAATAGCTAAAACTATTGAGTATTTATACTTTTCCAGGTGTTATTTGAAGTAATCCTTACCACAGGTCAGTGAGGCAGCTATTATATTACTATATCAAGTTTTTTCAAGAGGAAAAACCAAGATGCAGAGACACTACAATGTTATGCCAAAGTCACAAGCTCCCAGGAGCTAAAAGTAGGATTAAAAATCAGAGTCTAGGGTTCCAGAACCACCTGTAGTGAGGTCAGGGGTAAAAATCAATTCATCATTGTGTCATGGACACAGCCTGGCTAAGGTTACTCAGCCTCTTCATCCAGAATCAGGTCACTCACAAGGAGAAGTGTTCTGCCTACAACACACGTTCCTTCGAGGGAGGGCGCCTGACAGAATTTGTGCTGCTGTGTGAAGCTGATGAAGATCAAGGCCATCCCAGCTAACGCAACCAGTGAGCTGAAGATATTCATGGTCATGATTCCTTGTCCCTGGAGAATAGATTTAAAACATGGGAAAGTAAATAAAAACTAAAGGTAAAGATACCTTGCTGGAAATTCTCAGAACTTCTCTAGTTCTAGAGGTCTCACCAGATCCATGTGATTGGAAGGCTTGATAAGTTCAGTTCTGACTGGTCAAAGTCAGGAGGCAAAGCCCACTGTAGAATGGGCCAACAACACTGTGTGGTTAATGCTCCTGAAAATGTCCATCTCATCTCAGCACAAACCATCTTTTATACCCTGAAAGGACATGGTGCCTTGGAAAGCATCACAACATGGAAATCAGACTTGATTGTGAGTCCTGCTTTCATTAGGACTTATACCAACTATTTAATCTGTCTGAGCCTCAATTTCTACCTTTAAAAAGGAGAATGCCTTTAGTGTAGTGTTCATTTATTTTCTAAAAATTTCGTGTATACTAAATATGTGTCATTACCACATTAAGCCCCGAATGTACAGACTCATGTGGGAACTGACGGCTCACCATCTGGCTCCCTTATATTCCCCAGGAAGAGTCAAATGATGACTGACAAAACCAGATGGTTAAAGATGGTAAAATTTGGACTAGTGCTTAAAGTTGCCCTGTTTTGATCTTAGTGCTCCAACATGGGAGGCATAAAAAACTGACCTGCTTAATTCCTTTTAATTTTTAAAATGATTTTATTTCTTTTTTGAGAATTTCATATGTGAGTATTGTGTTTACATCATCCCCCCACTCCAACTCCAACATCTCCCATGTTCTGTCCCTTCACTCCTCAACTATTCACTCCTTACTATTTCATGATTATTTTTTACATATATGTACATATAAATTTATAATACAACCTACAGAGTTAATTTAGTGTTGTTCATTTGTATGTTTGTTTAGGGCTGAACACTTATAGGAACTGTCAGCATTTATCTCCAGAGGAGCAGATGGAGCATTCATCCCTCTCCCTAGGATTTCACTAGAGTTTGTAACTATCCCCAAGGAAACTGACAGAGAGCCATGAAAATGGATTCGGTGACTTTGAGAAGAAGCCCACAACTCTAGGGTTTTCTGCAATTATTAGATGAGAATAGGAACATTAAAATATCACCATGTCTTTTGTAAGTAATATTTTAATTCTCAAAGTAGCTCTTAGGTAATCTTCCTTCAAGTTGACAGAGCAAGGAGAGCCAAGCAGCTCTGACTCAATCCTACAACTGTGTGGCATCAGTGCCACACTTTTTGTCTGGTCCTTGGGCAGGCCTCTCTGTTGGCATTGGAGGTGGGGCTGGAGATAGAAAGTGAGGCTGACAGGGTTCTGGGATAAATTTTGGTTGAGGTATGGCTTCTCAACTTGGAGACTGTAGATGTTTTGGTCCAATAATTTTTCTATTGTTAGGAGGCCTTTCCTTGCTTCCATTGTTTTCAAGGGTGTTTAGAGGGGACTGGAGAGATGGCCCAGTAGTTAAGAGCACTGGCTGTTCTTTCAGAGGACCCAGGTTCAGTTCCACATAGTGGCTTACAAATATCTGTAACTCCAGTTTCAGGGGATCTGACACCCTCTTCTGGACTCTGTGGGCACCAGGTAAAACACTCCTACACATAAAATAAAAACAATAAACCTAAAAAGAAAAAGGATGCTTGGAGACAACCCTGGCTCTTACCCTCTACCTGTCGATAGTATACACTACCCAGTTATGACAATCAAAAAATATCTTTGGTTATTGTGAACTATTCCCCGTGGAAAGAGAAGAAGCAAAAATCCACTCCCAATTGAGAATCATTTAATTACAGCAATATAGGATGGTTCCCAAGAATAACTTCCAGTTTACTTGATTAGAGAAGTGGGAGAAAGGGAGAGAATGCAGGGATAAATCATCCACAAATGGGTTTGAACCACAAACTTGATGCATAAAGATCTTCCAGAGAAACCCTGAAGCTTAAGGGCAAAGATGCTACAAAGAAAAGAGATTTGAAATCAGGTAGAAGTCATAAAAACTACTTGCCAGAATTTGTTTTGATTTATCATCGAACACTGAGATGAATCCTGTCAGGAAAAACTGTCCAGAAGACAAGAGGCAATGGTTAACAGGTGATACATCTAAATGGTCTACAACACAGTCTCCTTTGGATTTTCAAGCTCCCCCCCACCCCCCCCACCCCCGCCGGCATCTAGTCTTTCTAACCTGAGTGTTAATAGAAAGGTACTTGTTTTAATTACATCTGTAGGAGTTGGTGTCAGCACTTGGGGACATTTGGGTCTTAGACTCTAAAATCCCTCTGCTGCAGTACAGACATTGGGAAGCTACTGTTGGCATCTTCCTCTGCTCCACCTGGCCCATCCACCTCCAGTCCCTGTCAAAGCCTTTCTCTTAGTGCCACACAGTCTCACCTTCCTTCTCTGGGTAATTGCAACTTCTTTCCAATTGATTTTCCCAGGATAGCTGTCATCTTTGAATTTATTTCCCACTCAAAAACCCATAATGTACTCTAATGAGAACACATTATGAAATTTATTGTCATAGAGCTTAATCCAATTCACATTAGACTTTATAGCAATTTCTGTCAAGTTCTTAGTAAGTGGTACTCACAATAAATGCTCCCCAGAATGGATATCCTGTGAGGATCACGAGAGGAAATTTTTTGGAGAAAAAGATGAAATTAAATGCTAATATAATCCCAAGGCCCACAATGATCAGAGAAAGAAGAATCTGGATAGCCTGGAAGGAGAAAAATGAACATGAGATAACAAGAGCCCAGGCCTGTGGGCTGCCCCAGACACACTTGTGGCTGCCCACTACCCCAATATAAACATCTCCAATCATGCTGAGTCCCTCCAAATTTTAATTCTTCACTCTTGTTCTTTACTATTTCTCAGAGTCACTGGTATATCTTGTAGCAGACGTATTTGAATTCACGTGTGACTGAACCTAGACTGCAAACTTTGTAGTGATTGGCCCCACAAACTGCTTCCTTGCACCCCTCCCTCCTCCCTGGCACTGAACTCTTAGGATCATCCTCACAATTAGCCTCCACATTGTCCGTGTTAAGTGCAGTCATTCCTTGGTTTGCATGGGAAAGTGTGTGGGAGGCTTGGTTCCAGGACCCAAATCTGAGGATGCTTAAGTCTCTTATGTCATAATATTTGTAGGTAATCTGCACATATCCTCTTCTTTGTACATTTTTCCTCAGACAGGATCTCCTGCATCCCAAACTGTTCTCAAACTCATTATGGAGCACAGGATGATTGTAATCACCTTCTCTTGTGCCTCCCCCTCTCAAAGCTGGGATGACAGGCTTGTGGCACCACACCCCTCTCCTTCTGTACACTTTAAATGGTCTCCTAGGATGGTAGTATGCGATGTACCATACATACAAACACCAGAAACTTTTAAGCATCACCTGCCTAGGAGTGAACAAAATACTTAATAGAATGTAAAAGCAGGAAGTAGCTTTTTATTGTACTGTCTGTGGCATCGGTACAAGAACACTAGCTGTACTTGTTCAGTACAGGAGTAACTAAAAAATATTTTCATTCCATGTTGTTTGAGCCTGTGGTTATGCATCCTTTAGACCTATACTCCACTGATGGACTTTGACCTCACCTTCACTGGCTTCTTAGTTCCATGAGAGGCACTGCCATACCCTCGGGTCACTTCCTCAAGAAGATATTTGGAAAAATTACATAGTTTCCTACTTCCCCTGGGTTGGAAATCAAAGATCAGAACTAGCTCCCCATGAAATAGCCATGGGACCTCCCTGGGGTTAGGTGAGTTAGTAGACTAGTTAATTCCAAGAGTTACTTAATCCATCACCTCAGAAACATTTCTTCATTGACTGCTGAGAGTTAATGTATAACACAGACCCAAGGCAAACTGTGCATTGCACTTCTAAAGAGATCTTCTCTCTCTCTCTCTCTCTCTCTCTCTCTCTCTCTCTCTCTCTCTCTCAATTCTCTCAAAATTCAGGGAACTAGCATGTGATGACTCTTCTCTGAAGGATCCATTTTTTCACAAGCAATTGTCTTAGATGTGCTGCCTTTTAAAAATATTTCATATGTGTATACAATGTATTTATCATATTAGCCCTCTTATCCCCCTTCCATCCTCCTCCCATGCTGACCCTTTCTTCTTTCCAACTAGTCCTTAATTTTCAGGTCTTTTTTTTGATGACTTGCTGACTTTAATTAGAGTTGCTTATATAAGCAGGGCTATGGGGTTATTTTTTGGAGCATGAGCAAAACTTATCAGTAGTTACATTTTTGAAGAAAATTACTGATTCCTTTGCTGCCCCCCAGCAACCATTAGTTGTCAATAGCTCCTCTGGGAAGGGTGGAGACTAGTGAGCTTCCTCGACTGTAAAAGGATACATTGCAGATGAAATGCCAGGAAGGAAGGGAGATCAACTCCTTCCCTGAATATTATTGCACAGAACTACCTCTGTAGAAAAAAATGGAGATGCGGTCCCTTTCCTCCCTTCTGGGATGATCCATGATAAGGCAAAACTCACCCCCAAAACTTTTGGCTCCCCCTTCAGGAAATCCAGCAGAGAGTTATGAGGTCTGTAGGGAAAGGCAGTCAAGACAGTTTCATCTGGATCTATAGTGATGACATGGGTCCTTCTTTTCTCCTCAGATGGTGACGCCATGATTCAGTGGCAGAGCTGTTAGGGGAAGGAGTGAAAGGATATTGTAGCCATAATCATGATGTATTTCCCCCCTAGGGCCACATGGAGTCCTCCGCAGTGAGCCCGTAGCAATTACATAGTACTAGAACCACAGAATCCCAGTCATTGAGTCATAAGAATCTGAGAATTCTAGAGTGTACCAGCCCTCTCGATTCTCACAGAGGAAACCTGGAAAAGTTACTATTATCAGCTTGCTTAAAAAGCATGTAGTAAACACAAAATTTGATAGATGGTACCCACAAAACAAGTGCCTGTATCTGTATTAATATATATACACACACGCATACATATACACATATACACATATACATACATACGTGCATGCATATATTTCACAATTATGCTCTGGTCTCTACCAAGTACTAATTATAATTATACATGGTTTAGAACTTTGTTTTTCCAGACCAATCTTTTAAATTTATGTATTTGTTATGATTTCAACTGCTAAGTCACTGAGGTGAGCCGTTTAATAAGGCCAGACAGATCATGCAAGAATCCTCTCAGCTATTTCCTGGCTCACAGCAGTCACAAACGCCAGGGTTTCTTAACTCTCGCATGCTGTTGTTTGGACCTACTCCAGCTCTTGAACTTCCATGGGCTTGCTGAGGAAACATGAAGGAACTAAGCCTTTGGCACATCTGCTATGTCCCAGGGACTGTGTCAGGTGCTTCGCTTCCGTGTGCACCGCAGTGGCACATCTGCCCGTGAACAGTGCTCAACCCGAGAAGCGGAAAGGCCCAAGTGCCAGAGGATAAACACCGGGCATAGGTGGAGGAGGCTGTGCTTCTGTCTCCACAGCCTGTGTGTTTACTGTTCAGCCATACTTCCATCCTTTGGCAAACGGAATTTCCTTCTTTTAGGAAAAAATGTTCTTGTTTAACAACATCTCTTAATAGTATAAAAACAGTAACTTGTAATTATGTTTTCAAGATTTTTAAAGTATATTTAAAGCTTGCATATAATTACAGTGTTCAGGGTAATGTTTTAATATGCATATACACTGCGTAATGATTACCATAATGAAGGCAATTAATGTATCCATCACCTTACATTGTTATTGTTTTTCCTTCTTGTGGTGAGAAACTAAAGATCCACTCTCAGGGCTGAAGAGATGGCTCAGTGGTTAAGAGTTTGTGCAGAAGCTGAGGAAACAATCAGTTGAGTGAAGAGATACAGAGTTGGAGGGACTCTTGGCCAGCTACACATCTGACAGAGGATTAATATCCAGAACATGAAGATTTCAAAAGACAGATAGTCACGGAAACAAATGATCCAATTAAAAATGGGCAAGGTGATACTGCCACTGTGAAAACCCTGTGAGCCGTTCTTTGAGTTGTAAATAAGGGCAACCTTTCTGATGACTCGGCCATTTAGCAGCTGTTTGTTTTCTTAGAAAGCCAATAAAGAGGGTATTTGAAATAAAAAAAAAAAAAGTAGGCAAGGCATCTAAACAGAGAGGTCTCAACAGAAGAAATAAAAATGGCTAAGAAATAACTCAGAAAGTGTTCATCATTCTTAGCAATTAAGGAAATGAAAATTAAAACAACCTTAAGACTTCATCTTATTCCAATAAGAATGGCAATGATCAATAAAAACAATTGACAAGAAATGCTAGTGAGGTCATGGGGAAAGGGGAATCTTCAGTCACTGTTGGAAATGCAAACTGGTGCAGCCATTCTGGAAATCAGTATGGTGAATCCTCAATAAACAAAAAATAAATCTACCCTATTACCCAGTATACCAGTCCTTGACATATGCTCAAAGGAGCTGGCGTCCTGCTCCACTTATACTCAGCAGTGTGCACTGTTGTCCTATTCACAATCATCAAGAAGTGGAAACAACATGAATGTCCTTCAGCAGAAAAATGGATAACGAAAATGTGGTACATATACAAAATGAAATGCTATTTAGCCTTAAATAAATGAAAAAATGAAACTTGTAGGTAAATAGATGGACCTAGGAAAGATTATATCGAGTGAAGGAACTCAGACCCAGGAAGACAAATAATTTATGTATTCTCCCCTCAGGGATAGTGAGGTCAGGACATGAGACTAAAACTACTACCTCCACTTTGCTGGATCAGTGTACTTCCTAACCACACTGTAAATCTTACTCACAGGTAAGTGTAGCTATTACCTCTCACCAAAGGAGCTTCTCTTTACAGCAAGTGGAGACTGTCACAGAAAACCATAACCGGATACAATACAGAGATCAGTGGATTGTGGGAATCCCAGCTCCAGTGAATACATCTATACCACAGCTCCTGCATCTCTGGCTCAGGGAATGTCTTAGGAGTATAGGCAGAAAGACTGTAAGAGCCAGAATACCAGGATGTCTGCTTGAAACAGTCTTTGATAGAAATGGCTGCGTGAACAAGATCTGAAGAATGGCAGTATCAATAGACACGTCAGTGTGAGAGGGGGAAATCTCGTGTGGTTCTACCCCTAGACAGAGAACAACTGGCAACTAATGGCTGCTGGGATAGGAAGAGTTAGCCTCTCCTAGGGATGTGTCCCCTAACCGGTTGTCCAATACAAAGGGGTCAGCCCTGAAACCATATACACACAGCCATTTTTATTATGAATATATAATTATTATAATAATTATATTAATATATTTGTGCATATGTACTCTATGTACCAATGGTAATCAGGAAGGCAAAGGCTATCAATTTCGGAGGGCGGAAGCATGGAAAGAGGTCAAAGGAGGGGACTTGGGAGAGGGTAGAGGGAGGAAAGGAAGGAGAGAAGTGATGCCATTATATATTTTTAAAAAACTTTTTATTGATTCTTCCTGGATTTCACATCATGCATCCTGATCATACTCATCTTCCTGTCCTCTTGATTCTGCCCTCTGACCTTGCAATCTCACCCCTCCAAACTAAACAAAATTTAAAAGCGAAAGTCAAACAAACAAACAAACAAGATATTGGTGCGGAAGCTGTAGTGTATCACAGTGAGTCACACAGCGTACCCTTTAGTTCACAGGTCATTACTTGTACGTGTTCATTGCAATGAGTCATTGGTCTGGTTCGAGGCCTCTGGGTCCTGCTATACTATTGACACTGGACCCTCACTGGAACTCCTCTTGGATATCCTTTTGTTGTCCTGGATCATGGAGATCCTGCAACTTTGGATCTGCAGGTCTGGCCCCTTCAATCCTCTAGCAGTCCATAGATGAGGTGGATATTAGGATGGGCTAACTCACAATCCTGGTACTGGGCCTGGGTGGTAGCTGGATTGGTCATCCCACCAGCTTTCTCTCATTGTCGTCACCCATGCCATTATATATAAATGATGATGATGATGACAATGATGATGATAAAGGAGTGTGTATTGCTCTTTCAGAGGGCTAGAGTTCAGTTCCTAGCACTGATATCTGGTGGCTCATAACTGTAAGGGACATCTGACACATCTGGCCTCTGAGGCACATGCATTCACATACACATATGTACATACACCACACACACACACACACACACACACACACAGACACAGACACAGACACACACACACTAAAAAAAATGAATCCAAGAAAAAGAGACCAGCTCTGTTTACACTCTGCTTTCTGAGTTCTCTATAGATTGTAGTTGTCTTTTTTAAGAGTTCTCAGGCATGTAGGGAACCAATCTATGTACTGCTGCATTTCCATAGTACATAGTACAAACATAGTACATGTTTGGAAACCTTACGTATTTATTTCAGTTGCACTTTTCTTTGTGGGGAGCAATATTGGAAGCTCTCTTTCTTAGGCTAAAATATAACACGAATTCTAACAGGTCTTTTAATAAAAAAAAAAAAAAAGCAGAGCCAGATATTGGGGTAAATGCTGAAAGATCAGAGAGACAAAGGAACACGCCACTGCCACGTCTTACCTCTAGGACTCCTCAGCCTGAAAAACTTTTTAGCCAAAAGGCCTCTAGCTCAAACAGCTCTCAGCCAAAAAGCCTTAGTTCCTGTCTCCTCACTACCTTTCTCCACCCAGCATATCACTTCCTTCTTAGTGCTGGGATCAAAGGCCTGTGTGCTTCTCAAGCAAAGGCATGAGATCTCAAGTGCTGGGATTAAAGGCATGTGATTCCCAAGTACTGGGATTAAAGGTGTGTGCCACTACTGCCTGGCTCTGTTCCTCTCCCAGACGGAGTCAATCTCATGTAGTCCAGGGTGGCTTTGAACTCACAGAGATCCAAATAGATCTCTGCCTCCCGAGTGCTATCATTAAAGGTGTGTGCTACCACTGCCTGGCATCTATGTTTAATCTAGTGGCTTGTTCTGTTCTCTGATCTTCAGGCAAATTTTATTAGAGTACACAATATATCACCACAGGTGAGCAATGTTGATTTTTCCAGTCCACGATTGAAGTTGCTATTGCTTATCTATGTCCAATGACTTATTCTTTCTAGTAATTAGATGAGAGAGTGTACTATGATTAATTATAGTCTTTGAATTCAAATAAAATATAAAGCCAGTGTGTTGGGGAGCTAACTCAGTGGTAGAGTACTTTCTCAGCATATCCAAGGTCCTAAATGCAATACCCTGTTCCTAATACATTTGAAATTGTTATGTGAGACAGAAATAAGTCATTTTCTTGCAACAGAGTCTCACTCTGCAGCCAAGCTGACCTTGAACTCAGGACAATCCTGTTTCAGCCTCTCAAATGCTGGGATAAAAGGCATGAACCATCATGCCTAACTATGATTTATTATTGCTTACCATTGTTGGGGATCAAACCCAAGTCCTTGCACAGGCTGTCATATTTTCAAAGGATCTCAAATGTTCTTGCAATGCATAATGTTTAATATTTTAGCAACAGGAATGTGCAAGTAACACAAAGAAATATCCTACCCAGCTGCATGACCTCATTAGCCTCCACCACTACAGGACTGCACACTTTCTCATCTAACATCATATGGATAAAACACTGTCTGTTCACTCTGTTCAGAGACATTTATAAAGTCTTTCATCATTGTGGACTGTTGGATGATAGAATCTTGCTGACTTAGACTTTGAGGAAATGACTTTCAATGGAAATGAAGTGACTCATATTGAAAGTACCACAGGAAAGCTTTTCTTCAGAAGTTTATTGAGATCTACCAAGGCTGGGATTTCAGGAACGTCTAGCTGTGCTCTGCCATGAGCACTGGATTTCTTCCTTCTTCTTCTGTATTTCACATTCATGGCCTCAACAAACTGCTTTTGATAAGTTGGGTATGATCTTGTGACTCAGACATGAAATATGCACTCTAGAAGAATAAAATTTATTAATAGATTTTAACACTTTGATTTGGGGGATAAGGTTTAAAATATTTTCATATCTTTCCCTCAAATACATGATATATAATATATTATATATATTATAGTAATATTTCATAGTAGTACTTTTGCAGCTTTATCATAATATATAGTTGGAGCAGTATTATTTCAAGCAAATATCACTCCCCATTTCCTCATCTTGTTGATTTCTAGTAGCCTCGGTATTGAAGCATTATTTGTTGAAATTATAACATTTTCTTTTTTGCTGTAGCATTTAGGAGAAATGAAAACAGTTTGAAATTATAATGTAAGAGGCTAAGAAAAAGCAAGGGGAAGAGCAGAACAACATAAACAAAACAGTAAAATCTTGGTAAAAATCACACTAGCAAGGGCTTGGCTGTGGAGACAGACGTCCGTGTCCACGATAAGAACAAGGCTGTATAAACTCTTATTCTTCCCCACATATTTTTTAATCTAAGTTTCGGTTCATTCATGAGATTTCATGAGCTAACTGCTAGAGCCAATTGGTTTCTTGGGGAGGGATTCTCTTTCAGCGCTGCTGCCCTGTAGGCACTCTGATCCCAGGTGACCAATCAGTGAACTCTTATTTTCATTATTAAAGTCGGTTTCCATCTGATCCTTTGGGTGGGGACACCGGGGGTGTCACAGAGATATCAACTTGCTTACCATAGGCTTGTTGAAGTAGACTCGCTTCCACCAAAAGACAGAACTGTAGACAGCTAGGAAAAGCTCCAGCACAGTGAAGACGAGCATCACCACCAGCCCACTCTGCAAAGGAACACAGACCTGGGTGAGACCTCACACAAAGCCTTTGGGCCCTACTGAGAGGAGATAGGGGCGTGGCGTGGCGTGGCGTGGCGTGGCGTGGCGTGGCAGGCTGGGCACTGAAGCCCTCAGCAATGGAGACTAGGAGGAGCAGAGGCAATGGCTCAGTTCTCTGCTTTCTTGTTCAGGTTTCTCGGTGATCACACAGAGATGAGAAGCAAGAGTGACTGGCCACCTGTCTCTGCTTGTTTTCACCAATTCCTGTTTGTCCTTGGTGCTTTTCATTCATCCTGTTTTCAGGTGTGGATTCAGATTCACTTACCCTGTAGGATTTTCCCTGGGTTCCTTCGCGTGCAATTTCATGAAAAATTCTTAGATAATTATTTTTTTTTTATAGTCTCCTTCTCTCTCCTACATTTTTTCTATTAGAACTTACATTCATGGTCAACCCTTTCTTGTAACTTCAGCCTCTGTGTCATTCATGTTTTTCAAATTTGATATGATTTAATTAAGGTATTTCTTTAGATGCATTAAATCTGCTTTTCGCTGATCTCAGTTTTTAATTTTTAAGATTTTTTTTTAAATTTCTAGTCATAGTCCCTCTTTATCAAGTCCCCTGTCCTTTTGATCATACTGTCCTGTTCTTATGTTTTGGTTTTGTCCTAGTCAGGGTTTCTATTACTATTATAAAACACCAAGACCAAAAACACCTTGGAGAGGAAAGGGTTAATTTTAGCTTATACTTCCGGGTAACAGACCATCACTGAGGGAAGTCAAGGTAGGAACTCAAGGAAGGAGCCTGGAGGCAGGAAGTGAAGCAGAGGCCATGGAGGAACATTGCTGATTTGCTTGCTAAGCCTGCTTTCTTGCAGCACTCAGCAGGATTGAGCATTTTTCTCACATTTCCTATATGTTTATCATTATATAGTTTAAGTGCATATGCGATGGTGATGGTATCAGTGTGTGTCTTCAATACATAAGAATCTTATAAGTGGGATTTGTTGATATGTCCCTACATAGTTGCTTTAAGTCTGATTTTGTAAGGACTTTAAGAATATCAGAGATACAGAAACAGTTTTAAAATCCCTTTTTTAGAATCCTTCCTAGTATCTGTGGAACTGTGAGTTTCCATGTGCCATCTGCACGGGGTTGGGTGAGCTGAGGGCAGGGATTCGTGAAACTTCCTGTGGTATTGAGTACATTTCCTTGTCCAGTCATCACAAATGACTTTTCAGTCTCTGTTTCTAATGCATCTGCAGGGCTCTTGGTGTGTGCAGGGGAGCCTGACAGCCCTAAAGCTTTACCCAGGCGTTGACAGTTTTGGATCCTCCTCTCTAGCACCTGTTTATGTGCAGACTCCCAGTTTTCTGCCTTGATAATTTGACTTTAGAGTCCTTATTAGCTTCTGCAACTTACATCATCATTTTTTCTTCCTTCCTCTAGCTCCTTTTTTATTTTTTCCAGTCTTAAGTACACACACACACACACACACACACACACACACAGTTACTTTTGTTCAGATTAATGCCATATTTATTAAGTACTAGCATATCTTTGAGGTTGGCTTTCTCTGCCATGCTACAACTTTTCTGATGTTGAGGAAATTCTTTCTGACTCTACTTGTATGAGCATAGGAGACAATTTGATGTGCTAAAATAAATCCTAATTAAAGCAATCCCCCAGTATCCCAGTGGGAGGCTGAGTCTCTCACATTGCTTTACCCTGTTTGTCTTGCGGTATGACCTCCTGGGCTTTCTCATGCTCACTTCTAACCAGATAAGACTCTGTTCTTTCACTTCCTCAAGCTCCCAGGTCAACATTTTTGATCTCCTCACATGGTCAGACTCATAGAAGGATGTGAGTCCAAAAGCTTTCACACATTCTCTAAGACTTCTGAGTGAGACGGACACAAGGGAATGAAAGATATCGGCTTGGTCACTCATTGCTCCCACTAGGAGAAGTCATGAAGGAACAATCTTCTTCTTTAAAAGACTCGTTGTTAGGGTTTAGACAGTCTAACCCTACATTTAGAACATTGACTAAACCAGGCTTGTCACTATCAGTAGGTGGTGGCTGTCACATTTGGGTGAAAGGTGCCAAGAAAACTCTGCCCAGGAACACTGATGTTTTTCATAGGAGTCATATCTGCTGGTTAGCTGCCCCCTGCCCTCTCTTCACTGTGCTAACACTGAGCAGACGTGCACTTGAGGACAGAAAGCACTTTGTGTCTGCTCCAAGTCTCGGAGTACATGTGACCAGAAGGCAAACCTATCTAATATGTGGAGCTTTCCAGTGCCAGGAAACAACCCCAAAGAACTTTCCAAGTTCAAGCTCAACACATATACCAAAGAATAGCTTTGCCTGTTGTGATTTAAAACTCTCCATTGTATTTCCTTCATCTCTTCACCTTCTTCCCCTTTCTGCTGTGTTTCATGCATCCCCCAATGCACAATCTGCTAACTTTCTGTCATACTTGTTTTTTTTTTTCCCTGTCTGCCCCAGACAGTCAGACCAACAAAACCAGAGATTGCTGAAAAAGCAGAAATTACCCAAAGGGGAGAAACTGGTGCTTTACATCACAAGATATTTAGTCTGGAATGACTTACCATGACACCGACATCAGCAAGGAGACAGTTCTTGTCTTCACTCATCCAATGGTGGGATTCCGGAGAAGATAATAAGGGCAGAAATTTCTTTTCTGAATTACAGTGTGGAGAGGCAGTCCCCAGGATGATGAGGCCATGCGTGAGGAGGAAGAGGCCAGCTGCAGCAACAACAGAGCTTGCAGCATTGGAGGCCAGACTGCTCAGTGCCTGGAAGACAGAGTGTGTATTGGAGTCTCGTCACAGCTTTGTGCAGGATGCTCCATTCTTTGCCTGTTATATTTAATGGTGCTTCCCCAGAGTTGTTTCTAATATAATCTGTGGCCTCTTATCAGGCAGACCATGGATAGTTTGTCATTGGATCACTCAGCGCTCTGCAGTCTGTTCCATGAGACAGTTAGAAAACATGTCTTGAGTGGGAGAATGTGAGCAGCTCCCCACAGGCTGGCTTCCCGACTCTCTATGACACTGAGCACTGAGATGAGGATCCTCAGCCTGCTGCCACTATCTTCGCTGACTTTCCCAAAGCTCCCAGAACTGTCCTCTGAAGACCTCTTACAATATGGCCTTTGGCACCCTCTGGAGAACCCAGAGGTAGTTTTACCTCACATAAAAAGGAGCTTTAGAGAATAATGGAAGCAACCTGAAGAGGTTGGATACCCTAGAGCAGTGGTTCTCCACCTTCCTAATGCTGAGACCCTTTAATACAGTCCGTACAGGGTGATCAGGCCAAAGGGAAGATAATGTACTTTCATCTGACAAGCAGTTGATGAATTTGCACCTTCTTTTTCCTTCCAAGAAAGAGAGAAGTATTGGTGTGTGGTCTTAGTTCCTGTGGTTCTGGCTATGCCCACCCTCAAACAATACAATGAGCAGACAGTAGCCTTGAAAACACAGCAGGAGGAAGCAGCAACACTGCTGCTCCTGTGGGTAGCAGCCCTTCCTACTTCCTGCCCCATACCCACCCAGGTGGGAAAGGCACACCCTGACTCCAGAAGCCACAGGGTCTGGCTAGCTATGGCTGAGCACACAAGGTGGTTTAGGAGCTGGCACATGTTCCTGATGACTGAAGCTGCAGTACAAACCCAGAAGTCCTGGGGTGGTTGAAGAGTTCCCAGCATTGAATGGGGGTCATAGTTCTGGGCTTGGGATCAAGAAATGTAGACTCCCATCTCTGCTGTTGTTAATCTCTGTGTGTGACCGGGCAAGCTCCTTTCTACTCTGTGTTTCAGTTTTTCTCCCATCACATGTGGAAAATGAACACATCCACCTCAGAAGTGACGTCCCAAGTGTGTCAGTGGGCCAGCGGAAGAATACATGCCCTCTAACCTGTTCTGAGCTTTGTTTCCCTAAACTGTGCAGTGGAGGCTTGGAACTAGAAAAATTACCTATGAGTTTCCAACTAATACAACCAACTGGAGATTGATGGTCTTCATACTTACAAAGGGTTTGACTGAGGTTTTCCCAGAGATAATTGAGAGAGCTCCAGCAATGGCAAACTGTTCAGGAAGGAGAGAAAAGAAAGAGTTGGCCTAAACTGCTTTCAAACCACTCACAGAAAGCAGTGGGAAACCTCTAGGGAGACAATCCTGCAGGAATGACATGTCCATATTGCTAGGGAGGCTTCATATCTACTTGGGATGGTTATGTATGCTGACTTTAAAGAACAGGCATCTGCTCAGGGAGGTTGAGTTTATGTTATTGGAAAGCAGTAGTTGCTGCAGGCAAGATGCAACAGATGCCTGGCAGATGCTACTAATATTGAAAGAGGAGGTTGGGGGTGATCAATGACTTGAGACAATATGGAGATAAGGAAACCAACAGAAGTACCTATGAAAGAGCCTCTGATACTGCAAAGGACAGAAAAATACAGAATTGAAGCTATTAGTGTATGTGGATTGAGTATTATCCAGAGTTTAGGAAACCAGGAGGACAAGATCCAACATAAAACCTTTATTATAACTGCCTAGAAGGCAGTTTTTTATTCCAGTGGTACTAGGATCCCAGCAAGCAGATGTATGGTGGTCTGGGAAGATGAAACATTGATTATGCCTGTGGCTTGAGTATTGGGTATTCACAGATAATGAGAGACAAAAATAAACTAGCAGTAGATGCACTAATGAAATATGGAGGCTGCCACCACTGGTTAGACAGTGAACTCCAGGGCAAATTGTGCTTTGGGGACAGGAGCAGACTTCCTTGCACACTGTATAGTTGTGTTTATGCAGGGACCATGGTCACTAAAACCCCTTTGTATAATTCACCTTCTTAGAATGTGCCTCTTTCCCTCATTTTTACAAGATTTTCTATGAAGAGAAATGATTGTTGGCAGGAGGTACACATTGTGCCTAGCTACTCTCAAAATAAACTGCAGTAGTACCCTTGCCTATGCATGAGTCATTATATGACAAGAAGCCCCCAAACTCTACAGATGTTTAGGGTTACCTGGAAGCAGAAGAATGCCTCTATTTCCTATGAATCTTGTCATTACTGAGATAAATGTCTGCAAACCTGTGACATCTGATAGAGGTCCCAGGTTACTGTTTAACCAGTGTTTCTCACTCTCTACCTGAGAAGTGGATTACCCTTAAAATGGGTAGAATTTAATGGCCTCTTCAAAGCCCCAAAGAGGGCTGTAATAATATCCCTCTTGTCTAACATGATGTGGTGTCAGATAAGAAATGTGCTGATATGCTCAGTGTGTTGTCTTCTCCTCCTGCCTCCTGTCCTAATCAGAGCCCTCCTGAGGTGCTGATTTTGAATAGGCAAGACAGGACATGAGATGATGACAGGAATGTTGAGCTGGCTCTCTCTTGCATTCTTTCCTCTTGAAGAGGAAGCTATTCTATGACTGAATGCCTGGTGTATATTTAGGAGGCATAAATGCTTTCGGAGATCAAACTTTACTTACATACAGGGATCCAACAAATGGGTACCCGGACATCAAAGTAGTGGAGGCTGCTGGGTTGAAGTAGGGAGAGTAGGAAACTGACACCAAAATGCCCCCCAAGCCTGCAATCGTCAGGGCACATAGTATCTGGATGGTCTGCAACAGACAAGACATGGACCTCTAGAACATGTTTTTAAGTGGATGCAAAGGATTATTTGAATATACACTGACTTATAAGGAGTGTAAAATATGTTATGATTTCCTGTATTAAAAAGGGTAAACCCCACAAGTACCAAATATGCCTATTCTAAGAGAAAAAAAAATCCAAAATTTACCTCTTTTTTTTTTTTTGAAAGGCTCATTAAACTCAGAAAGTGATCATGTGAATGTTGTAATTCTGAAAAAAACTACTTCACAAAGCATTTCTTTGTGTTGGAAAAGTCATTGGGAAAAGTTGTTTGGACTAGAGCACAGTTAAGAAAATATGGAGAAGGAACTTCCCACAGGAGTGTCAATGCAGGCCTCAGCTTCAACTGAGAGTTGGTGAGCATCGTATTTCTAGTGCTGTCTCTCATCCATTTTTATTTGTGATTTGAATTTAAGAATCGCTCTGATTGTCGCAGCACCAAGTGTCAGACTAGTTAACATGTTTAAAGTGTCTGCATTCTCAGCAGTATTCATCACATCTGTGTTACAGATGAGGAACACCAGGGAGTTAAGTTGTACAAAACCGAACAAATGTCAAAGACCTGGAATGTTGTTTGGACTCTGCAATTTGAAAGGGAATCCATATTTTTATTCACTGCTGGGTATATATTGTAATTTACACACAAACAAAGTAACTCAAAAGTACAAGATGCTATCTATTACCACAATTCATCATTGAATATCCACAATTCATCATTGAATACCCATGTACCAAGAGGCAGGCATGAAACAAATGAAAGTCATTGTGTAGAATCTTACCTCTTACTTGTACCATGTAAAGACAGGTTTCATGGCAACTGAGATGAAGTATTACTAGAGCATGTTATCAAGGATGGGGCCATCAGGGATAGAGATTTGTGACTAAATAGATGGGAGACATTGTAATAGAATAGAAGATCCAGAAGAGAACACACACAGATATAGCCACCTAATATTTAACAAAGGTGTCTTCAACAAATGGTGTTGGGGAAACTGGAAACCCACGTGCCAAAGAATGAAGCTAGAGCCCCATCTCTCACCTGCTCATAAATAATTCAAAATAGAACAGATACGTTAAGGTAAGATCTGAAGCTCAGAAACTGCCAGAGGTAAACATCAGGAAAACACTTCAAGATGAAGGGATTTTATGAAAAGGAGCCCAATAATTCAGATAACAATGGGAAAAATCAACAAGATTGCATGGGATGGAAAAGTTTCTGCCTAGCATTGGAAACAAATAGGAGAGTGAAATTACAGACTGAGACATGGGAGAAAACCATTGATGACTATATATCCTATGAATAGCCCCAAAAGTTAAACGCTAAGAAAACCAAAGCAATCAATAAATAGGCTCATGAGTAGAATAAACAATTCTCAAAACAAATAAGGATAGACTACAAATATTTTAAGTAACATTCAGCATCCTAATGACTAATTAGAGCAATGTAAATAAAAGCTGATTTCAGATTTCTTCTCATCCCAGTCAGACTGGCTATCATCCAGAAAACAAATGACCACACATCTGATGAGGATGTGAGGAAAGAGGAACTGTTAAATGCTGCTTATGGGAACGTAAACCAGTGTGGCCACTGTGGAAATCAACATGGTGGTTCCTGGAACAACTAAAACTAAATTAGAACCAGCGTATGATCCAGAGGATGACTTCTGGGTATGTCCCCAAGGGAATCAAAGTCAGCATATCACAGAGAGGCCTGCACAGCCAAGCTCATTGCTACACAATAGCCAAGGCATGGGACAATTTAGATGTCCATCAGCAGCTGAATAGAAAAACAAAATGTGGTCTTTACCCACAATGTAATTTTATTCAACCATGAAGAAGAATAAAATAATGTCATGGTAATGGGTGGAACAAAGGATCATCATACTAAATAAAATAAGACCAACTCAGAAAGACAAATAATGTCTTTTCTCTACCATGAAAAATATACATTTAAATATATATGTATGTGTATATCCATAAACATGAGACTGGAAGAAGCACTGCTAGGGGAGAGGAAGTGGTCCAAGGTGGGAGATAAGAGAAAACAATGAGAGGGAAAGACAAGTGCCATGCTCTCCTTTCATATACAGAATCTGAAGTTGTGCACTGTAGGTACACACACACACACACACACACACACACACACACACACACACACCTTTTCACACACGCTCATGGTAAAAAAGCAAAGAGAAAATATTTGGGAGAGAAAGAAAACCACCAAGAGGGTGGGAAGCAATCAGGAATGTAATCAGCAGGCAAGTATATATATATCTTTCTATCTATCATCTATCTACCTGTCTGTCTGTCTGTCTGTCTATCTATCTATCTATCTATCTATCTATCTATCTATCTATCATCTATCTGTTGAAAGCAGTGGGAGTGATATAAGGGCCAAGGTCTTGGTGTGCAGGTAGTGAAATAATCACTGAGTAGGATGACATGAGTTTCTAGAGTGGGAATTTCCAGGGGTGAGAAGACAGCTAAAAGATTGATCTCAGAGTCCTGAAAAGCAAAGACAGTGCTGACTTCCTTTCAATGACTTGGGGTGAGAATTGCTGACAGAGTGTCTTCTGGAAGCAATGTGCTGCTGACTCAACAAAGAAGAGAGAAAAAAAATGGATAAAGAATCTAATGATTAAGATTTAAGATGTGGTAAGGAATTATGCTGGTATAGCTAAGTGGCTATAGGAGATTATTTTTCTAAGACCCATAACCTTACTAGTCTCAGGAGGCTGGCTAGGTTTCCCCTCCCAGGCGTGATTTCCCTCCTGCTGAATTGGCCTTAAGTCCATTTAGATAGCTTTTGGTTGCCACTGACTTGTGGGTGCCATTTATTTCACCTCTATTCATATCTTGTTATGCTGGTTAGTTGTGGATCATAGTATTGCAGTTGGGTAGGACTGTTTGTTTCCTTTCCTTGGCATAGTATTTTCTGGAACCATGGAAACTAAACCAAAGGAAAGATGCTTTCAGAACCAGCTTGAATCACCTGAGTCCTGTCTCCTAAGTCTGCAGTGTCTTCAGCAGTAAGGACCCTCCCCCAAACCCTGAGAAGCAAACAAGGGGCTACATCAATTATCTGTACTGTTTTGGGTGTCACTTAGTCTACCCTCCTCAACCCAAATCCCAGAAGACACACTTGGTAAGGTTTCTGAAGATGGGAAGGAATACAGGTTGGGTCTTAATAGGAAGTATTTAGAACCCAATGATGAATAGGGTCCAGTTTGTGAGGAATAATGATGTTGATACTTGGATGTCTTACAGCAGCTCATATGGACACAGAGAAATGTGTGGATAAAGGTGATCTAGATGGTATCATCTGAAAATGTTTGAAAACCAAACTTCAAGTAGGAAGACCTAATTTAATCAGACTAAATAAATAAAATCATGCATCTAAGTCAAAAATCTGCACTAAAGACAAATGAGAAGAAACTAATTTCTTAATTATTCAGTTTTCTGGTGAAAAAAGCACGAGTGGGTTTAATTACTTAGTTATTTAATTAAATGAAAGTCCCTAGGAGAGTATAGTTTCCAGAACAGCTGTATTTCACATTCTGGTTAGCTTGTGGAGTTAGCCAGAAACAAGACAAGGATGCTCCCAGACCCACCAAACCTCTGTAGTCTCTGTATATCTCTTCCTTGTTCTCTTTCCACCAAGATGGACTTACCCCAAGAACTGTGGCTTCCTTCGGCACACCAACCAGCAGCTCATCTCCTTTTTGGTATGTGTGTCCAGCTTTCTCTCTTTTGTGAATAACGATGTCCATTGGAAGGCAGGCACCCAAATCCCAAGCCGTAGAAGTGTGACACTGACGAGGCTAGAAGAGGCACTGAACTCATTAGTTCCTAGGGCTTGACTGACAGACACTCACAGGCACCAGAGTCTGCAGGGAGTGAAGAAGGATGACTTTTCTTTAGATGAGAATTGGGTACATGTAGGGTGTGATGACCATAGACTGGCATGTTTTCTACAAACAGAACTGGATCTGAGTTTCAGGGAGAGCGTAGGAGAGCTAGTCGGTTTGCTGCACTTCATTCATGATGAAAAAGAAACATGCTTTTGGGGAAAATTGCAAACATTTCAAGGAACCCCACAATTTGGATGTTAGTAATTCAAACAGAATTTGCTCTGCAGCCCTGAGTGTATTCACCTCACTGCCTGCCCTGCAGAGCCTTTAGTTTTAGGTCCCATTCTCTACCTCTTGTACCCCTGCTTCTTTATAGTACAATCCTCTGTCACATCTCCCAGAACCTTATACTGAAGCTACATTTATGCTGTCTGATCCTCCACTGTTCATTTTCTCTCCATTAAATGATTGGATGAGTGCTTTTCTGTCTATAAAAAAGAACACATCTAATCTAGAATGTGTATCACTTCTGTTTTTTAAACCCACATTGAATTCCAGGCACTGGAGCACCAAAGGTCTTACTCCTTCTAAGAGTCTTACATCCTAGATGCTAAGTCCATTTCATATATTAGCAGCTCAGAACTACCAAGTTCATTTCATTAACTGAAAGTCACAAAAAGCACTTACCTGCTGCATCACATGTGTTTAATACACTGTAGCAAATATAATTATCGTTAGTCTGTTGTTTGCCTGACTTGCATGTACCTGGGCTGTGTCTACTGGGCTCAGGATCTTAACAATATTTTCCTTTATGTGACAATAATTTCCTCTCTGTGACATTTCACCTTGCCTTTTCTCCCATCCCGATATTGACAGCTCTGCTCTAGGAGAAAACAGTGCTCCACCAGGTCCACAGTACCGAAATGAACTCCAGACTCTTGTTATTTGTGGGGCAGGTGGGGATGGTACTGCAATGGAGGTCAGATGCTGCTTGCATCTGGAGCATTGGCTGTCAGTCATGAGTTCAAAGCCTGCCCGTAGGAATGGCAGTGACCCAGGGGAAGTGTGTTAAAGGTGTCTCTTTCCCGAACTGTTCCCATATTGGGAAACCTGGATTTTGACTTGATTTTTGTTGTTAAATACATCAATGCAATCCCTTTCACCCAATCTAATAACTAATCTCTCTGGTTCTGATTTCTTTCCTGGGTTTGCAAGGTCTCATATCCAAGAACTCTATCTTATGCATTATTCTAAGCTCTGTGTTAGGAACTGGAAGCCTAGTTGATTCTCTCTAGCCTGTCAACATTGTATGCATTTATTTTCTGTTATTCTTAAATTGACCGATTTGGTTGTTTTTTTATTTTTTATTTATTTTTTTATTTTACAACACAATTCAGTTCCACATAATAGCCACAGATTCCCCTGTTCTCCCCCTCTCGCCCCTTCCCCCTCCCCCCAGCCCACCCCCATTTCCACCTCCTCCAGATCAAGGTCTCCTCCGAGGACCGGGATCGACCTGATAGACTCAGTCCAGGCAGGTCCAGTCCCCCCCTCCCAGACCGAGCCAAGCGTCCCTGCATAAGTCCCAGGATTCAAATAGCCAACTCATGCAATGAGCCCAGGACCCGGCACCACCGCACAGCTGCCTCCCAAACAGATCAAGCCAAATGACTGTCTCACCCATTCAGAGGGCCTGATCCAGTTGGGGGCCCCTCAGCCTTTGGCTCATAGTTCATGTGTTTGCATTCATTTGGTTATTTGTCCCTGTGCTTTATCCAACCTTGGCTTCAACAATTCTCGCTCA